GACTCAAACCCGCAACCTTTGGGTGACTAGTCTGACTCTCTAACCATTAGGCCACGACTTCCCCTTGTTTTATTTACTACACTATATTTTACTAATTATATTATTATATGTATTTGGTTGCTGTAAGTACTGTATACACTCCAGCAATATTGTAAATGTTAACAATCATAATAATAAAGCTCTGTTGAGAGAGCGCTTTGGGAGCGAGCACTTTCCAATGGGATCCAGAAACCAGAGAGCATAAAAAACCCCCCCACAAAAAAACGGATTGAAATGAAAAATCAAATCAGCACTATCTAATTAACCAGCGGGATGCCCAGTTTCATTTATTGCTCTCCTCCATCTTTCCCCTCCTTTTATGTGTGTGTGTGTGAGCTGGGAGAATAAAGGAGGAGGTGCTGATTGGAAGGCTTTCTGCTTTATTGAGACTGTGTGAAGCAAACACACACACATAGATTGTGAGGAATAGTAAAATCCCCAGCGCTCCCTGATTATGCTCAACTCTACATAATGCCATTTACTTCCTGCCACATTAATGCTAATCTTTTTATTGCAGTGAGGATGAGAAAAGTGAGCAAGTCGTCGAGTGCTGATGTTGTTCTCAGTGTGTGTGTGTGTGATTCTTTTGCTTGCTTTGCACACGCCGCAAGTCTCATCCTTGCAACTTTAGATTAAAAGAGAGGAAGACTGATTCACTTTGTGGTTTTTAATCATCTTAAAGTATTACCATGACTGATAAGAGGACAAATAATAATGAGAACCCAAATCTGAAAATAAACAAATATAATTATCTATGGAAATTAAATTTCAGTTTGGTCTGATCAGCCCTGTTTCTCCTGTCGTGTGCTAAGTGTGTAAAATTGGGCTGTGATTTAGATTGGGGTTGATTTTCATAGGGGCTAGGTCTTGTTTTTTCCTGTTCTGTACAGATTCAGATGCTCATCCTCTGTTTGTGGATAAGGGAAGACCACAAACACTCCAGAGAGGGTTTTGGAAAGCCGCCTGTCCGCCGGTCACTGCATCTGCTGCAGTGTCCTGTAGGACAAATGATTGTCCTGTTTTGTGTAGCACATGTTTGTGTGTTTATTTAGACCTGTACGTTTAAGCAAGTGTGTGTGTGTGTGTGTGTGTGTGCTTTCACGTGAGTGTGTGGCTGAGGATTTTCTCTCTCTTCGTCATAAGTAGTTGAACGGCCTCGGTGACAGACTGCGCAGCGAGCCTGACAGTCCCAACAAAGAAAGGAACTCTTTATTCCTTTGTCCTTCAAAGCTTCTTGAATATTGCTGTTGACTGGAGGGCCGGATGTCTCAATACAAGGATGTGCATTATTTTTTCTCGGAGCAGAGACTAGAGCAGTGCATCATGGGCAGGATGCTGCTGCTGTTGTTTTCAGGAGCTGCATTAGTAATTCTTGAATTAAGCTCCCAATACAGCCCTCATTCAGACACAGGAAATGCTTTGAGTGTTTCTTTTGACTTTGACAGTGATCTTGGGACTTATTTTAGTCAGACTTTTCAAAGCATTCATCATAACAAGCCATAAAGATGAGCTCAGATGTACTTAAAAGGGCTCTCATATCAATCTGGACAGCTCAAATGTTGCTGTGATATTGTGGTCATGTCATGATATTGGTGGGTTCAAAATATTGGAGAAGGGAAGCAACATTTGTTAATTGGAGAAAGTGACACTTTTGAACTTTTAGAGAAAAAAATGTCCTATTTTTTACTTCCTACATTTTTAAACTGTTTTAAACAGATGCTTTTAGTACACAGATGCGTTTAGGCCTTCATAGGAGTTAAAAGAAATAACTGAAAATAAATCTATTAAATTGTGGTTGCACAATATATCAGTATTGGACATTATCAGTGTCAGTTATCGGACAATATTCAATTTTTTTCAGTATTTACATACATTTTTACACTTAGACTACCTTTGCCATCATCTAACCCTCACTTAAAGTTAATCTTTAAAAAAAAACAAAAAAAACTCAACTCTCTGGACTGTCTCAAAATATATTTCTTATTTTCATAATTTTGTGATTCCTAAATTCAAATAATTTAAAATGACTAATTTTACTTTTGTGTATTTTTTTTTCAATGGCATACAATTGATCAGTCTTTTATTGATATTGTCAATAACTAATTAAAGTCTTATTATTGGACAGAATTTTACTTAAATACTTTAAAAACTTAATACCTTAAAAAATGTAATTAAAACAGTGTTCTTTTAAAATCAGTCAGTTTGTTAGTTAGAATAGACAGGAATTTGTATCATCAGTAAAAGGAACCAACCAATGTGGAAATAACACACATTTGTATTATGTGAGACCCAACAAGGAACACTAAAATGTTATACTTTTATGTTATATAATTTCCTATTTATATATAATAATAAAAAAATACAAGAAAGTAAATAAAAAATAAGATACTGTAATAAAGTGTGCCATTTTTACAAACCTAGTGTTCTGCTCATTCTTGAAGCTTGGCTTTATTAAATAAATCATCCTGTTGTTCCGAGATATATCCTAGTTCACCTTCCTACCAGAATTTTCCAGCAGATTCTTCTGGAATAATGTAGAGAAATCCTAACGGAGATGTTTTTACGGTTCAGAGAGTTAGAGAAAAGAAAAAAATAGAAACATTACCTTGATTCAGAGGGAAATGGGATTTCCATATTCACATTATCTGACCCACATCTGTAGCCCTAAATGCTTGGTCTGTTCTGGGGTGGCGGGGTCCGATCCGACTTGGCTGAGCCTTTCTTGTCAGATTGCCCTGAATCTCATGACACGCGCGGCATGTGGGGGGTTACAGAGGCCACTGGGCAGCGGTCTCGACTCCACGGCCGAAACGCTGCCAGCTGAACAACATTGTGCGTAGGTGTGACAGCCTGACCAAACCGAGCCCGTGCCGCTCAGACACAATGAACTTACTGTTCCACACTCACTGAGCCATGAATACTCTCCAACAGAGGCTAAGGTACAGCAGACGTCACACATATTCTAGTCACTGAATATTTTATACAGAATGGTTTCACGAGAGGGTGCAGCGGTCTGTTAAACAGCCAAGATTGTCTCATTTTCACCTTTCTAGTGCTTTGTGACATGTAGTTAGACCTCTCACCTCCAGACGAGCATTGCCCAACACCCGCCTCTTTCCGATATATAACAGGATTGTGATTAGTGGGCGCTGACGGAAGGGGGTTTATTAGCTGAAGAGCAAGAGGGGGTGGGGCGCTAATTGAAATGATGTCTGATGTGATAGCCTAATCTCTGTGGTGACAAAATCCACGCGCACTTGCTAATTTCAATGACAGCTCTGATGTCACTCAGGCTTAGCTGACGGAAATAAATAACAAACGTCCCAGAGAATATTAGAAAGAGAGAATGTCGTCTCGACCATCGAAATCCATCTTGCGTAGCAGCCACCCCGTAGTGCAAGATGAAGTGCCGCTCAATTGTCACGGAGACCAGACATGGCACCTGGTGGCCTGAGAAGACAGTCGCTGCGTGAAGATAAGGGCTTTAAATTCCTACTGCACTTTCAGTTAGGGAGAATCTTGCTGATTTGACACCAGCTGTGCCGTGTAATTCATGACCCCACACTCATGGGCTTCAGGGGATTGTAGTCACTCAGGTATTGAGGGCTGTGTCTCAATTCCCACTCTGCTTTTCTATAACATGAGCATGAATTTGAGTGCTGGAAAAGGTTTTAACCACTAAACATTGGTAGACTGATTACAATTCAAGTGTTAAATTCACAGATATTTATTTATATCATCGCTGCAACATATAATGCATTTTTTTTTACATTATTAAGCAAGACAGAAAATGTACATGCACTCCAGTTTACACATTTGGGGTCTGTCAGAATTGTTTAAGTAATATGTTTATTCAAATATAGGATGCATTAAATTGATCAAAAGTGACACTAAATATATTTATAATGTTACACTGATGACTGGAGTAAAAGCTGCTTAAAAATTAAGCTTTTCCATCACAGAAATAAATTACAAAACCATTATTTTAAATTGTACTTATATTTCCAAAAATTACTTTTTACTGTATTTTATCAAATGAATGCAGACATGGTTAAATCAGGCAGACTTTAAAAATAAAATGGTAGTGTACGTTATCACATTAAGACATAAGCAAATATAATGAAGCATTGCAAAAAATCTCTATTTTATACCGTGAAAATCATTGGGGTACAGTACTGTTCCCCAGAAGAAAGAAAGTCATATGGGTTTGGAACATGAAACAATATTTACATAACTAAATGATCACAGAATTTGTGATTTTTTTTTTTTAGATGAACTGTCCTTTTAAAGAACAAACAAGGCTTTATCTTATTTGTATATACTGTATATAATTTTGTTAATATATTATCATATATGTATGCATCTTATCTTATGTATATTTCCATTATTATTCAGCTTTTTTTACTTTTATGTTTGACGTTCATGTTTTTACTTTGCATTCTAGAGATTGAAAGTATACTGGAAAGATTTTGAAAATTTTGGGATACCCCCTGTAATATCTCATTCCCTTGCGAATGGACTTAAAGAATAGTTAACCCAAAAATGAAAATTATTTCATCATATACTGATAATGTTCCAAACCTGTATGATGTTTTTCTTGTTGAACACCTAGACCAGAAAACAATTAGACGTTTTACAAAATACCTTGTTTTATGTTCCACAGAAGAAAGAAAGTCATAAAGTTTAGGATGAAATTAAGGAACTATCACTTTACTACAGAACTAGTGAGTGGATTTTTTTAAAATCATATACCCAAATTGAAATGGTGACTTGTACTACGTTTTCTCTGCGGGGTCATATCAAACCATCTATCAACAAGTGATATTACAAAACTGGCTTCAGCTCAAAATGAGAAAATATTCTGTGGCAGGGCAGATCAGGTTCTGGAATGCTGCTCCAAAATGCTGGAGGCCTGCTGTCTCCTACCTGACTGACCTCTCTCCTGACCTCAGCGCCAGCCCATACGACAGTGTCGTGGCGGTTTGAGGACAGCGTACCTCTCTTCGGTGACCTCTCTTACATTCCAGCTTTTAGGTAGGAATAGTAAGTTACTTTATGCCTTGCACTCATCTGAGGACTGGATTTTCTTTATCTGTAAATCGCAGGAGACAGTCGATTAGGACCTGCAGCTTTTGCCTATTTACCACTTTGATTTAAATGTGGTTCCCAATTTGACCCCCTGACCTGGTCACGCCCTCACGGGAGAATTGGAGAATGATGTCATGCTTTGAAATTCGTCTTCCTGGTGAACTGTGAAGACAAAAGCAAACATGAACAGATTAGTTTAGTTTACATAACTAACAATCATTATTCAAATGTCTTTCATTTAAAAAAAAAAAAAATATATATATATATATATATATATATATGTGATGCCTACATAGTTATGATATAAATCATTTTGTTTAGTTTCATTGCACTTTATTTTATGTCTCCTGGTTATCTTTTTAGCTTCATGTCTGGGTTAAAAAGCAAGCTTTGTTTTTGTTTATTTTGTGAAATATAGCCTGATTTATTTGCTTAAGTGTCCATGATAGTTTGTACTGCATAAATTACTAAATTAATGCCATTTGAAATGAAGACAGAAAATAACAGTGATACGTTAAGTAAATAACAATTATTCCCCTCAGGATCCATAAAACGTCTACCCATCTCTACCCTTTTCTTAATCGATAGTACTTTAAAAATTAAAGTCAGATATATACTGAAAAAAGAGGTTAAATGTTTTAATACACTGCACATGTCAGTGAGGTTTGGCTTTTTTGTCTCCTGTCGAAGTAAAGAAGAAGGTTTGTGTGAGGGGCCTTTTTAATTTTAGCACAAAAAAAGATAAAAATCAGCAGGGAAGACAGAAAGTTTGAGGCTAAAGGAAATTGTCTTGGGTTTGTATGTGAAGGGTACAGCGGATGGCCAAAAAAAAAACAATGTCTGTGTCTTTCTCAGGTCTACAGAGAGGTTCACTAAACATTCCTCACAGGCAGGGGGAGGAAGAGGGTAAGCTTATTAACATAAGAACAGAGTCCTCAGCCAATCGACAGCAGGGAGAGGGAATGTCAGGATTGAGAAGGAACTGGGAGGGTGTCAGGTTACCCTATGCATTCTTCCCTCCTCCTTTTGCTGGAGAGGGAGGGAGAGAAAGAGCACAGGACGGACGCAGAGAGAGCAAGCGTGTTCAAGAGAGAGAAGTATATGGGACTCATTCTTGCCCCCTGACATCACGGAATTGAAGTATGCATTAGAAGCTGCCCATACTTTCTGCCCGACGGAGACGTGGAGAGATTTGACAAAGAGCTGGACGGTCCGAGGGAGTTTTCATCAGGGGTCAAATCTCAGGCAGTTAAGTGCTGTCTGGAGTCCCATAGACTCACACAGCGGGGCTGAAAATGAATTATCTGGTGAGTGTGTTTGCTGTTCTCATTGTTGTGTGAACGGTTTAAGTTGGTTATGTTAAATGCCCTCGGGTAGTATATCTGGAGTGGATGGTGAAGTTTAGTCTTAGTGGACAGAAGAAAAACAAGAGACACATATAGCAGGTTTTCTTTTTGGTTTTCTTAGTTCTTCTACTTGACTTTTTTAACATGTATCATTTTAAGGTGTTTATGACAGCAACAAATCAGAACAAGTAGACTAGAGGCTTAATAAAAGAGGCAATAATAATTGTTGTAACACTTCACACAGAGGCCAGTGGAATATATCCGCGTAGTCTGAGGTTTTTAAAAATGGCATTTTCTTAAGGAGCAGTGAGTTTTGAAAGCTTAGTAGAGAGTGTGAGAAAGCAGGCATAACGGGGGGGAAGAGTGGAAGGAAAAGGAGCCCTGCCGCTGTGAGCTTCTCTGCTGACTCAGGAGAAAGCTGAAAGATTAAGGTTTTATGGAAAGGAGGAGGGAGAGAGAAAAAAAGAGCAGGAGAGAAGAACAGCATGAAGTGACGGGCCCAAGCATCCGTTCCTTGCCATTGTTTGAAAGTGCTGGCGCTCGTTCAGCTTGTAAGACTTTAGGAATGACACAATGCTTTGGTATTTGGACGTGAGAGTTGGGCTGTACTGTATTTCCGCCTGTGAGGAATCTGGATACTGAGATTCACCCCCTGCAGAAGCTGGGATATTCCCCGGCCATAGAAATGGACTTGTGTTGCCGTGGAAAGACATTGGCAGTAAACCAACACTTAGTCGTAGCCTGTAGCTACAAGAATCCAAGCTGGGTTTTTTTTAATTTTTGAAGAGGGTGTTGAAACCTCACCCTTCTAGGAAAGGAGGGGCAAAGGAGGTGTCTTTGTGTGTTTTCCAGTGAACACGAGTGAAATGGATGATGGATGAGTGATGTTGAGTGCACATAGGAATGCAGTTGTGTTTGTGGGATGAGCTGTGTTTTGAGGATTTGGATTGTGTGATTTTTGTCTGGCTGTGAATCACAGAGTGTGTCTGCAGTAGGGGATGCACCAATCAACGGTGGTGTCTGCATGCGTGCATTAGTGTTGACTGTACTGAGGATATGAAATAAAAAAGACATACAGTATGGAAGCGTGACTGTGTGTCTGGTGAGGTGGGCTGAAGTTATGGAATGTGGGCTAATATCGGTGTTAAGTTGAAGCTGTGGAATGTGTTTGGAATGAAAGGATGGGCCTAAACTTGCACTAAGAATGCTACAAACACACATGGACATTTCTAAATGTGACCTACCATAGATTTCTATGAAAGAAAATGGAGTATGTATACTAGGAACTCTATAGTATAATAATAGTATCTTTACAAATCAAAATATTACATTACAAAAGTTCTCTAATTCAAATAGAACTTGTTAATCATCAGAGAATCCTGAAAAACATATGATGGTTCCCACAAAAGTATTAAGCAGCAAACTGTTGTGTAACCCGTTTTCAGTATTGATAGTGACAAAGAATGTTTCTTGAGCATAATCAGCATATTAGAGTGATTTCTGAAATATCATCTGGAGAATAGTGTGATGGTTGCTGAAAATACAGCCTTCACAGAAGTTACATTTTAAAATTGAAAAGTGGTTTTAAATAGTAATAATTTTTCATAATATTATTGTTTTTACTGTATTTTTCTGTATAAACACCGTTTTGGTGAGCATAAGAAAAAAAAAAAACTTACAGAAGTCTTTAAAAGGTAGGGTCACGCTTCACGAGGGAGGATCGAGGAGACAAATACTGGAACTTATGAATGACATTTAACAGCGGACGGGGAAACAAGGGGCAGAACACACTATAAATACACAGACACCAATGAGACACACCTGAGAGCAAATGAACCAATTAATCAAACACAGCTGGATACGAATTCACACAACGAGGACAGGAACAGGAAAGACCGAATAAAGAAAACAGGAACTCAACAGGAACATACACGTGACAGGTAGTGTGTGTGTGTGTATATATTTGCATTTACATTTAGTCATTTAGCAGATGCTTTTATCCAAAGTGACTTACAAATGAGAACAATGGAAGCAATCAGAATCAACAAAAGAGCAATAAGAAGCAAGTGCAATGACTATAGTAATTATATTATAGATAAAAAGAAACCAGAAAGATAGAATAGAAAAAGAATAGAGAAAGCTAGTGCTAAAGGTCTTTATATATACTATATATATATATTACAATTATTATCAAATTTTGATAATTAATAACATTTATTATAAATTTCACAAATAAGGTATAAGAACCAGTACAAAAATGAAATGAAATGAAATAAAATAATAAAGTGTTCCAAAATGCTTCACTGTTAATCATATTATGTCTGAGAGTATATATAAATCATATTTCTCCATATTTATGTCATAAACTGTGACTGTATCATGTTATTGTCTGGTTTTTGCTTAGGTTTGTACACACACTCAAACTAACAATCAATTATGTGCCTCCCAGCCTTTCCTCCGCAGGCCTGTTGTTGGTGCTCAAGTCTGGTCTTGTCTGTTGTAAACTCACCTATATAGTGAAAATAGAGCAGGCCACTGGCCCACAGTTTGTCTCTGCCATCAACCTTCTGCTATTGTCTTCCTTTCTGTTGAGGTTTTCAGGTCCCTTCCTGTAAATAGAGCAGGTTTGTGCCCCACTTACATTGTATATTTCCAGCATGCTTTAATCCCTTAAAGGAGATATTCATCCGGTTCATATACATTGAAGTTCTCTCAGGAGAAATAGACACTGATTATTGTGATCTTAAAGGGATAGTTCTGTCATCGTTTACTCTCATGCTGTTTTAAACCTGTACAAGTGTCTGGATGGAGAAATTCATACCAAAATCATTTTTGATGAGGGTTAATAAATTATGACAAAATCATTATTAGGTGGTCTATTTCTTTGTGACCTTCTTTCCGTGTGTGTGTGTCATACACTACTGACACAGCTGATAGCGGCAAACGTCCAAACACACGACTGGCTGTCTGAGTCACATCTCTGAGTCTCAGCTCTGATGACTATCGCTGCTGTCTGATACAGCGTCTGCTCCTTGTGTGTATGTCTGAAAATGTGTCTACAACAGCTTACCATCCTAAACTCCACCCGCCTTATAATTACTCCAGCTAACCTGCTACTTATGCAACCAGTAAACCCCTCAGAATAACAACCTGACCGCAGAATAACACCCAAGCCTCATATATAGACGGGATAATTTAGAAACCTCTTATATGTTCTGGCAACACAGCTCAGATAAAATGTCTAGCTTTTGTTCTTGTTTGGTCAGGCTCAGGTGTCTTATGCGAATGATAAAACAGAGACGGCCTTGTTTTGTCTGCAGCGCCCATCTGTTTTTAAACCAATAAAAACTTTTGATGAGGTAGGGAACATTTTCTCCCAGAGCTCAGGAGGTGGATGTGTGATGAGAATAGACCTGAGACAGATGAGACTCTATCTTTAATGTGGTGTGAATGAAAACCAGGCTATGAAGGACAAAATTACAGCCTGTTCGAACTGTACCTCGATGACGATCATTCACTCAAGTGAAATATGGGAAGATTTTCAGAGTTTCAGTTAAACAATCAGTGCTCAGGTGCACAGCTTCTCTTTCGTTTGTGATGACGCTGCACTGATATTAAAATTCTGGTCTCTGTTTTTTTAATGTGTAGATTATATGTAACCTCGGACCACAAAACCAGTCATAAAGGTAAATTTTTTTAAATTGAGATTCATACATCATCTAATTTATACATCTAACTAATTAAGCTTTCCATTGATGTATGGTTTGTTAGGATAGGGCAATCTTTGGCTGAGATACAACTTTTTGAAAATCTGGAATCTGAGGGTGCAAAAAAATCAAAGTATTTAGAAAATCACCTTTAAAGTTGTCCGAATGAAGTTCTTAGCAATTTACTAATCAAAAATTAAGTTTTGATATATTTATGGTAGGAAATCTACAAAATATCTTCATGGAACATGAACCTAATGATTTTTGGCATAGAAGAAAAATCGATAATTTTGATCCATACAGTGTATTGTTGGCTATTGCTACAGAAATACCCGTGCTACTTATGACTGGTTTTGTGGTCCAGGATCACATATGATATTTTATGTCCTGCTGTCATATTATATAAGCTATAGGGCTCTATCATACACCCGGCGCAATGCGGCACGCAAGTGTTTTTTGCTAGTTTCAGCCCGATGCAGTTGTTTACTCATTTTCATGTCCTGCGCCACGTTGTTTAAATAGCAAATGCATTTGCACCCATTTGTGCGCCCATGGGCGTGCTGGTCTGAAAACGAGGTGTGTTCAGGCGCATTGCTGGCGTGTGGCTATTTTCAGGCAACTGAAATAGACTGCGCCATTGACCAACAAAAACCTGGTATAAAGTCTGGCACAATATATTTTCTTTGTTATTTAAAGAGCGTGTTAGTAGTATGCACCTATATACGGGTGCACAACGCGCGTACACTTTGCTTATTACACACACAGGGACGCACGCGCAGCAGCACACAAACATTTTTAAAAATTAAACATTAAATTCCGCCATGTAAATAGCGAACCCGTCACTGGCTTTTAAAGGGGATGGGAGATGAGACTCTGATTGGTTTATTGCACCTTATGCCCAAAACACACCCATTACTCATTTAGAGAATAGGGACAACCCTTTTAGACCATGCGTCGTTAAAGGGTTACTCCACCCCAAAATTTAAATTTAGTCATTAATCACTTACCCCCATGTCGTTCACAATTTAAGATATTTTGGATGAAAACCGGGAGGCTTGTGACTAGAGGTCTGCATGGGCTTTAACCGCCAATAAAAATACCAACCCCGCCACTGGCTTTTAAAGGGGATGGGAGATGAGACTCTGATTGGTTTATTGCACCTTATGCCCAAAACACACCCATTACTCATTTAGAGAATAGGGACAACCCTTTTAGACCATGCGTCGTTAAAGGGTTACTCCACCCCAAAATTTAAATTTAGTCATTAATCACTTACCCCCATGTCGTTCACAATTTAAGATATTTTGGATGAAAACCGGGAGGCTTGTGACTAGAGGTCTGCATGGGCTTTAAACTGAAGCCCATACCGACCCGTACCCGAGATCGTCTGACCTGGCCCGACCCGAGCGGCACAGTTAAATTTAGAGCCCGAACTCGACTTTTATTTTATTATTATTTTTTTTTCATAACGAATAGCCAATTCAAAAAAATTGGCTATTCACGATTATTTCACGGTATTTCACGATTGCATGCAACGGTCAGTAAACAAATACATGTAAAGAAACAGAATCATTAAGGCTCGGGCCAGTTCACAAGGCAAAAGAAAAAACACTTACCAGTTATGAAAGTTTATGAACATCAGGTGCAGCGGTCACATAAATTCTGCCGAGTTTTTGAATGGTTGTATACAACAAGACGATAATTCTTCCATCGTGCAAATTATGGTCATTTTCGTCAGTTAAGGCTCGTTAGCATTCGGCCTGCTTTAAATCAGACACAGAGATGTAGTGCGGTAAGATCGCATTTATTTGAATTAATTAATTATATCATTTATTTGAATTAGCGAGAGAGAGAGAGAGAGAGAGGGATGAAAGTTGCGTGTGTGAACCTGCGTCTGCGCGCCTCTCTCTACAAGCAATGAGGCTTAGTTACTTCAAAAACAGCCCTCATTGCAGAGAAATATAAAGTTGCGAGTCAGTAGCCTGTCGAAGCTATTTTACTAATAAAAGTTTCCGTGCTGTGTTGTCGTTGTCATGTGGACTAATGTGTGTGCGTGCGTCTATGAAAGCAGCATAGCCTACTGCATATAGTTTTAGTTTAGCTATGAGCCCGACCCAAACCCAAAGCTATTCATTAAACATTAACCCGAACCCGACCCTGAAACCCGAAAGTATATTGGACACGTCAGGCTCGGGTCGGGTAGCAGACCTCTACTTGTGACTGTCCCATTGACTGCCAAATAAATAACACTGCCAAGGCCCAGAAAAGTATGAAAGACATTGTCAAAATAGTCCATCTGCCATCAGTAGTTCAATCTGAATTTTATGAAGCGACGAGAATACTTTTTGTACGCAAAGAAAACAAAAATAACGACTTTAGCTTTTACGGGTTTGGAACGACATGGGGGTAAGTGATTAATGACAAAATTTTCATTTTGGGGTGGAGTAACCCTTTAAACTAGCAAAAGTGGATTTGGACATGCCCTAAGTGTACCTGCGCCGTGCGCTTTAGACCTTGCACTTAGATCGTTCAAATAGGGCCCATAATGTCTAATATAAAAATTCTGAACAGTTTTGTATAAATAAAAAAACCTAATATCAGTCATTTTAAAGAGAGAGAGAGAGGGATGAAAGTTGCGTGTGTGAACCTGCGTCTGCGCGCCTCTCTCTACAAGCAATGAGGCTTAGTTACTTCAAAAACAGCCCTCATTGCAGAGAAATATAAAGTTGCGAGTCAGTAGCCTGTCGAAGCTATTTTACTAATAAAAGTTTCCGTGCTGTGTTGTCGTTGTCATGTGGACTAATGTGTGTGCGTGCGTCTATGAAAGCAGCATAGCCTACTGCATATAGTTTTAGTTTAGCTATGAGCCCGACCCAAACCCAAAGCTATTCATTAAACATTAACCCGAACCCGACCCTGAAACCCGAAAGTATATTGGGACACGTCAGGCTCGGGTCGGGTAGCAGACCTCTACTTGTGACTGTCCCATTGACTGCCAAATAAATAACACTGCCAAGGCCCAGAAAAGTATGAAAGACATTGTCAAAATAGTCCATCTGCCATCAGTAGTTCAATCTGAATTTTATGAAGCGACGAGAATACTTTTTGTACGCAAAGAAAACAAAAATAACGACTTTAGCTTTTACGGGTTTGGAACGACATGGGGGTAAGTGATTAATGACAAAATTTTCATTTTGGGGTGGAGTAAC